ATACATATACTGCGTAGCTGCTGCTGACCGAGAAATCTCTATGCCTGGACAACCTGAAAAGAAGGCTGGACACATGTGAAGAGGCACTGCTGATATGACATGGACTGGCAACTCTACTGCCCAAAGGGTAGGACTAGGTAGGGACAATTGCAAGCTGGTGTGGTGGGGACACACCGGTGAGGGCCTAAGACAGACACCTTCAGAGCGAGGGCAAGGAGTGTAAAAGCTGTTGTACAGTACAGCACCCACACCATACATACATACATATACATGCTGGAGTGCATGTCTTCCCAGCATCTCGAGAGGCCTTTTTGGTGGCCAGCTAATACATACACATACACTGGGGGGATGGCTGCAGTCTGCATCAGATCAGGCCTATATACTGCCAGCCATCATGAGCCATACCTCCTGTATGTCTGACCAGTACAGCGAGTACTTCCAGTGTAAACCCCTGTCCCACTCAGCCTGGCTTTGCGCATGTGATGAGCCACGAGCAATTCAATACGGTTGCGAGGAATTTAAATGTAGGACTAGAACTATCTAGAACAGAAGCCGCTAGTGTTCTTGATGTGAATGTAAATGTATCTGCCCTGTTACCACATAGCTGGTCTTGGGCTTTCTTCTCTGCCTATCTCAGCAGACTGCTAATGGTACTGCGGAGACAGGATGAGTCACTGGGATCTATGCAGTGTGGCCCCGGGCACCGATGCTTCCTAGCAGGGCTAGGTAATGGCCTGGTGTGAAGTTGGTTGGAGGTTGACACAGATGGGAGGGGGCTTTAGCTCAGTGGTAGAGCGCGCGCTTCGCATGCGTGAGGTCACCGGATCGATCCCGGTAAGCTCCAAAGCACTGCACAGGCACGCGCCGGATCGGGCCATGAGGAGACCATTTTTCCGTGTGCACGTGCCGACATGGATTTGTCCAGACGTTTGTCTGAATTCGCTCAATTGTATAAAATAACTACGACTAGGTCTCTGGCCAAAGCTACTACGTTGTCAAAAAAGGTTCTTGTTGGAGTAGGTTAGGTCCCCCTTCGGTAATGTCGTTTTACTAGTAGCTCTTTCCCCGAAGGGGGGATGCCGTAGTTCCTAATGTAGTAGGCATATGGACAGAGCCTAGTTGTAGTTTAACTACATTACTAGTTACCCTTCGGGATTAGCGGAGCCAACATTAACGAGGGCTTTGCCCCACCGAACTACGTTGTGTCAACCTGCGGCCGAAAGGACAAACTCAGCAGCTTTAGTCGCTATTTTAGTCCACAAGACTGGTGTCTTTGTTGTGAACTAAGGCGTGGCGTTGGGCGGAAAGCAGATGTACATAACAGAGGACGGAGAGGGGCTTTAGCTCAGTGGTAGAGCGCGTGCTTTGCATGCGTGAGGTCACCGGTTCAAACCCGGTAAGCTCCAAGAAACAAAGGCAGATCGAAGACATTATAACATGTTACTATACTATGAGGGTTGTTTAAATAAAAGGAGTTAAATGAGCCTGTGGTCGTATGATTCCATCTCTTAAAACCTCGACTCGATTGTATTGCGCGGTTAGCAGGTACGGGGAATGCACCCCACGATCATGTAACACGCACAGATGCAACACACACACACTATACATATAGAATACTCTTGCTGAACATTCAGCCGCCACGTGTCAGGACGGGAACAAGAAGAGAAGCAAAGTAGATGATCTTGTCTTGCACAGAAAAATAGATGTGTATATGATCTATTTATTGTATCATATGTGTATATATATGTGATATGATA